GTGCATTAGAGAGTGCAATCCGGTACATATAGGATTATTATATTACAATTTGGAGTATATATGTGTGATGGAATCAATTGACCAGACCCGTTATCGTATGGGAGCAAACTATTGGGAGAGTATCCTAATTTTTGGAATTCATGGTTCATAGATAATCCGTCTACTTCTCATTTCATCATCTGAGGTTCATCTATCACTCGCTATAATCAATTATGACTATTTGACTCAAGCTAGTTGACATAACTTACTACTAACCTCACTGGTAGGCGAAATCTTCTTTTTGTACATAGAGGCTCTGACAAAGACCTAGGAAGACGTAAAGCCCAACTTTAAGCATAATCCTGTCATACGTGCATATTCATACGCCACAGGATGTTCGAATATTCACATGCCCGAAAAATTATCTGACCAGTTTAAAATGCGTCAATTCGCCATAGATAAACTTTTCCAATCAGTTTTTGCCCATTGGGAAACCAGAAATAATTGCACCGAGACGACTGCAATCACTTCTATGTTGACTAGCCTAAAATAAGTCACAATTGCATGTGAATATGGTTGCGCCTGCTTGAGTAGGCAACGTTTGTGCCCATGCGAATAGGCCCAGTCCGTGGCATTTGTGCTATTCGTCTATGACTTAAGCATCGCCGAATTGTATGAGAACTGAGTGTTGGCTTTAGAAAAAATAGAACTCTGTGCTCAGTCGACACAACTTGGAGGTGGTAGCCACGTCTGGTCTGTTTGGCCGTCCAGCGTAAAGAACCAGTAAAGTGGTGGAGTGGTTCTGTCGCGAGATGCGAAGTACGCTTTGGCGTGCATACGATTAATGCAGGGAATATGACCGGCCGAATGAGATGGGATTACGTCGTAAAGACCGAAATCGTGGAAAAGCTGTCGAGGTTGGTCTTTCTCCCTACTACCTCCGTATGACCACCCATGCTCTCCGATGTTGGGCTAGTTAGCTATCGTTTCTGGCCTCTCAGCAATTCTATCCCCAATGGGACAATCTCAGAGGTCCAGGCTGCTTTGCATAATCCCGTAGCGGAGGTCACAAGGACAGTGATTGGTCTGCACGAAATGGTACCTTGCCTCGGCCCCAGAGGCTGGTCGGCACCTGTAGGCGAGGAACGGAATGCGAGAGCGCTGTGCAAATCAGGGCAGAACAAGAAGATGCATGGTTTTGATAAGATGAATACCGACTAAAGGGTAGATAATGCATGAATCATAGGCCGGTATCTGTATGTTCAGGCGGGAGACCGATGTGTGACCCATTCGTTGCTAGTTAGCTTGTTAAGGTGTGAGCATTCGGCTAATTTGGTAGGTCTGATAAGCAATAGTGATGATGCGCCCGGGAAGGAATTGAAGAAAGACCAAGTCAAGCGGGAAAGAGGACTGAAAAGTGGTGTTCCTACCGGACAGTAGGCAAGTGTGAGCCTAAAAACGGCTGTATGGCGAAAGGCCGCCAGTTGGAAAGGCCGGTTTTAATAAAGGAATGACCCCAACTATGCCGAACAACGCCATTGGGGTCGCAGACGAAAGGTCGGAAAAGAAGATTTGGTGCTTTTCCGACTATTTTCACAATCCGATCTCAGCCTCGCTGAGGCACTGGGCTAAGTGGAACGGACAATAGCACTGATGGTACCGGCGTAACCAAGAGCGTGATTCGGTTGTACAGCAATTCATATCTTTATTCCAGAATGAAGATATGAAGACCAAGATGGTGTGGCCTTTTGTGTGGTCGCAGTCTCCTTTCGTTGAATAGAAG